AGATTCATCATCTGCTGGGTTCTCAGTACCTGTCACATAATAGAAAACGCAATTAAACACTTCTTCAACATCAGAATGGAACCTTTTTTCTTCATAATCGATTTCATTCCTTTGGCTTTTAACATAAACATACTGGTGTACTTGAGAATTATTGAAAGAATACAAAAAGGATCTTGAACACAAGAAAAATAACAAAACCAATGTACATGCAACTGGCACATCATGAACCTACAAAAACACTCAGAACCAGTTTTTTAATTGCCCAAATAATCTGCATGACATCGCTTCAAAGGCATTGCTGTCACTCACCATCAATGAATCCTGACAGATCCCTGCCATATCTGAAGACGAAGCTGTACACATCCTCATACTCCTTGACACTGTCCTTGGGGAGACTCTTCAAGATCTGCTGACACAGCTCAAACAACTTGCTCTGTTCATCGCATTTAGCATGGACAAAAATATCCCCACCTAAAGCAGAAAACAGGGAACCCTCAAAAAATATACCCAAACTGATCATATACTACACCAACAATATACAGTACCTTATACAGTCAAATGTATTTTGAACATTTCTATGCCAGCATGTTATATCTATTATATAATGTACATATGCCTCGAATACCAGTGAATGAAAATATACTATCATTAAAAACTATGTTACATTTTGACCCTATACCTAAAGCATCAATTTTATAATGTTAATTAAAGCAATCCAAGACGGGGTTTTGAACACATTCTCATTGCATGGATCACTTCTTGCTGAACTTATCCGAGGACAATTGAAACTTTTAAAATACAATATTGTAAATAATAATCATATTAAGCAATCTTGACAAATCTTGTGCTTTATCAAGAATTGTTAGAGTTATGGCAATTGTCAAAAAAGTAAGAATTAAGGTTGGTAAATAAAAGTTGGCGGGAAATGCCATTTAACCTGGGTAAATTTGTTTAATATGAGTTTATGGCAGGAAAATCCTGGCTCCGAATGCTTTAAATGACGCATGAAATTGATGTACTTGTTCTACAATATGCATTGTTATTTTGCATATATACTGGTACATGTACATTGCTGTACCTGTACTGGGCATCTCTCCCAATGGACCCTGGCGGTGTCGGTATGCATAGTCCTGTTTGGTTTTTCTACCAAGCTGAAAGGCAGAAACATTTTTTTTTCAAGTAAGTTAAACAAAATATATATACGGTATATATTTACCAAAATTACGATAAACAAATACTAGCATGTAGGTCAGTTAGAGAAGATTCAAATTTTTTTATATATCATAAGTTGACAGGTCAGAAAATGGATAAATGATGCACATTAAGTATTTACAAACCATATGTTATCAGTAAATGTAACAATAAACATATAAACCAAATGAGCAATTTTACATGGGAAAAACTATAATGGAAGGAAGTGTTTTGTTGGGAGGGGTGGGGGGGGGGGTGGGAGGCAATAATATCAAAAGCAGATCTGGCATGAAATATTTTCTGGGCCAGTATGTGCTCTGTGCTGTTTGAAGTGGGTCTTGGTTAATGTCTATACCTGGCTGTAACAATTGGGGCCAAAGCCAACACCAGCCCATATCTCAGAATCCTCAGTTCTGTCAGCAGGGGGGTCCACAGCATCAACATGTTTCTGCAGGTTGGCCACCACTTTAGCACACGCCTTGGAATCTGCCTCTGGTTTCAAGTGGATCCAAAGGTACAAAGCATGCTGCTTGGTCTGAGAAAAGACCTGTAAAATAAAGACAATTGAACTTTGAAAACATTATGTTGTACTATAACATTATTATTAATATTATTAGTATAACATTTATTTTCGTTTTACATCAGGATTTTCCATTTTATTTTTATTTTTTATATTTTCTGAAATTCTTGGTTTATAAGCTTGTTTGTATGTTTGCTTGCTTATACATTATCTCTGATATTGTTATGCAGTGGTTAAAATGACTGCTATCCTAAGGATAACTGTCCAAAGGACAATTTGATCGTAAGGCTAGTGTTATTCATTGGATAGTGCTATCCAGTGTCCATGAGACTGGACCCTGGTTAACAAAGTTGGTTGTAATTCACACTCAAGCACTTATGACTAAATATCAAAAATACTAAAATTATTAAATTAAAATGAAAAACAAAAAGTACTTTAGCTTTCATATTTTCAAATAAGTCAAATATACTGAAATACTCATACTCACAGATGGCTGACTTTCCGGCAAGGTTGCAGCATGCACTGGCTGAAGGAGAGCATGTTTGGGAACATCACCACCATACAGTTTGTAAGCTGTATATGCTCCCGCAGTCCCTACAGCCACTGCTGCTCCACCTAGCAGCACTGGTCTCTTGGTGACGAAGGTCCTAGTGCCATAACTTCTACTGGACTGGAAAACTAGGACAGAAATAGTACAGTGTAGCAGACATTCTAATTATTTTAGGAAAATTATTTGGGAATAACATCTACCAGCATTACGAGCAGCAGCTTTTGCACAAGCTAAATTGTTAAATTTGAACCTTCTTCAGAGGCAGTGAACACACAATAAATGTAAAAAATAGAAACATAATGGAAATTTCAGCATTTACTCTTCAAACTAGACTAACAAACTAGCTGTTGCATAAATATTCTACATTAACCACTTTTATGACAAAATACTTATTTTGGGGCATCACAAAAAATACAAAGATCACAGACAATAACATAAAAGCCTTTATTTACTAGTACTTGTTCATGAACATCACTATTTCTTGCATGCTAATGCTAAAACCAAGGGGAAAAGGACTACCAAACACCTGTGGAGAATCTGAGAAATTGCCGGAGTCCAAAATAGAGCCAGCAATCAGCTCTAAACAGAAATCAGACAGAAAGGTCCAGGTTGTAATAGGAAATTCTTCCAATCACAAGTTCATTTTTAGAAACACAAAGTAAATGTAAGCATACCTAAAAAAATCATACTTAATGATTTTAATAGTCTAATGTCAACTGAAACTCGTCTTCTCATTCAAAACACTACATAGTAAATGTATATCCAAACATTTCCAAGATAAATCCTTGAATCTCATTTATGTGAACATATTCAGTGCTGTCTCTCACCCTGACAAAACTCTGATTATATATTGTCTTTCACCCTTACAAAACTCTGATTATATATATAACCAATGCAGTTTAAATGTTTCCAAGCATGACACAGACACGTTATATCATGCCAATCAATCAAGAAACTCCACCCTCTTTTGACAGTTCAACTTTCTTTCAACTTGTCCTTACATAAAGACTGAACTTCATTATATTAGAGTGCATTCAGAACTGCTTATCCACCACCTAAATATGACAGACTCCATTTGGAATATCGAACCCTCAGAACAGGAGAGATTTTTTAACTTGGCTTCTTTAAATCTTCAGAATATCAGACCGATCGGAACAATAAACCTTTAAAATATAAGGCGTACCCCCTGTCACCTACCCCTTCAGTATCTTATTACAATACCTGGATTTATATATAAAAGTAACTAGACTTAGATATAAAAACATACTTAGCAGGTTTCTTAAATTATGGTCACTTAATTTGACTTCATATGCTTATGCAATCGATTTACATGTTGCTACTGCATCATTTAAAACATAAATATTTTTCTCTGAATCTCAGCAGTGTTAACAACTGAAAGGAAATGGCCCTGATAATCTAGCTGTCACTGAATTGTGCAATATTGTGTCAACGATGTTTTGCATTTGATGATTGATTTTATTCATACAAAATGTGCACTGCTCCTTTTATTAAAGCAAATGAATGCAGAAATGAAGATCAATTCAACAACTGTGTTATTGGATTTTGTCCATGACTGTTTATAGAAAAGTAACAAGTGTGAAAAATGCTTTGCTTCTATGAATGGTTGAACTAATCAAATACTAACAAGGAAGCAATGTTGCTTCTATGAATGGTTGAATTCATGGTAAAATATTCAAGTCTCTCAAACAACAATCATATGTTACTTCCTAATAAACAAAGCATGAAGGACAAGAATGCCAAAATAGTTTCTGACAACTTCACGATATTGGGATAAGTCACATCTGACAGCAATATTTCATGTCATAAGGACATGTCCTGAATACTCTTCTCTGAGTACATAAGGATTGATCCTGATGATCATCTCAAGTTTCTCCTTAAATATTTCCTTTATAAAAAAAATGTTGCTTCTATGAAAGGTCAAACTTATGATTACACACTAAACAGTCCTGGAATGTACAATTACATGTTATTTCCCAACAAACAAAAAGTGAAGTACATTCTTTACCCTTTGGTTTACACAATCATGATATGAAGTTTATTGTATTTTTTACTTGGTTACATTCATCTATATTAAAGCTACTGTTTTTCGACTTTCTTTCCCTGCAACATGACAGCGGGTCAAGAGTTACACAACAAATATGACGTCACTACAACGGGTTAATAGTAGTAGTTTTGACCTCATTTCACCATTTGACCTTACACAACAAAACAACCCAATAAGAATGCATGTGTAAAGGTATACCCATTTGGCTGCCAAAGGCAATTATACACACTTCTCTATTTATTCTTTATCGCTTACAAGAGTGAATATAGTTCAAATGGTACTGAACTATGCTCATTACGAAGTGCATATTTGATACCATACTGGGTTTTTATGCACTGTCATACCACCGCAACCCCAGGCAAAGTGACACCCCATCTTTCTCTCCACGCATGCTTTCAGTTTCAGTTGCCGCTACTCACTGCCAATAATTACAGCAATACTATATCATTTTTTCAGTTTGTTATGAATGTTTTAAATTTGAAAATACCAACCTGTTGGTCTGGCACTGCCAAGTTTCCTTAGGAATTGCGTGCTTCGTACGACAGCCATGTCAAAAATCCGTCTCAATCTATGCGACCGCGTTTCCCCAGGTCTCTGGTTATCGTGATATGTAATAATATCACATGACTTGTCATGTGACTGATTCTTGTCAAATCTCGAATATTATCGTTTAGACTGTTATGTAGACGTGAATGAATAGAAAATGGCAGCGACGGGCATGTGTTCATCTATTTCGCGGCGAATTTTTTCTTCCCTTAGAACTTCTAATGGCATGTTTTCATCTAAAAACAGGTAATGTTTGTGCAAACTGCATTTACACCTATTGACAAGTAGCCTTTGGTTGATCATTAAATTAAACGGATGAAAGTTACTTCTTTTTTGTGGTGGTTTATACCGTAACACACGTGTGCCACTCGCAATATTCAGTGTTTATGTAAGTTTTCGATTTAAGTTGTCTTTCTCTTGTGTTTTAATTTAGTAGTACTATGTGTTGGTTGGGATGAGGACTAGGGATCTATTGAAGGATTAGAGTCGAGGGATTAAGGGAAAGTCAGCGAGAGTAGAATTACTTTCTTCACTTTTGAAATTAAAAATCCTGATGCAATATCAAAGACTTCTTGTAGTATCTGAATAATTGCTTAGATTTTTATACGTAACTGAAGTGAAGCTTTTGTATTAGAACATTGGTTATGGGATTCAGGTTTAGGGAATCATTGAATATGAAAAGTACTTTAAGTATGTTATTATTTATCTAATCTGTGATAGAATAAGGGTCACCACATGATTTCTTTCTAATTAAACAAGAGTCTGGAAAATTTTCACACAGATAGCTACATATCTGTGTATGAATAAACCGTTCAATTTTTTGGTTTTTTTTTTTTTTTTTAAATTTAGATGTCCCCAGGATCGGATATCCTAGAAAAAAGGGGAAAAGTCCTTGTTCTAATGCATGGCATGTTTTGCCATGCGGCCTTTTAACAGCTTTTAGAAAAATTCAATTTAAAAGTTTGCCTTTACATTTTTACACTTCCAATCTTTCCTAGATTGTCAAAACAGGGTCCATGTGGTAGTACTAGCTGTTTTTAGCCATTCTTTAACACTGGTTCAGTTCTCAAAGTAGATTTGAAGCAGCATGCAATATAAAAATCTTATATTCTGGGGACTTTTTTATGGCAGCTTGGGCAAACAAACAACTAGCGCCACCTGTGCTCCTTTATTGTAAAGTTTGCCAAGTCAAGAAACTGAAAATAAATTTCCAAAGCATATTAACTTTGCATGTAGATTGCTGATGTGCCACCGCTTGGTATTGTCAGTTTTATATATAATTTATGACTTTTTCAGACTGTATCCAAGATTTATGTCAACGACAGCAACAGACTCTGAATCTAAACCTCCGGAGGTAGCTGAAACAACCGAGTCCAACCCACAAGAACACAGTGCATTGCTAGAAGCAAATGCAAAATTAGAGAAAGACTTCAAAGAATTGGAGGTAATCTGCATGATGCACAAATAACTATCTAATTTACATTACCAAATCTGTTTCCTTTTTATGTATAGTATGTTTCATTACTCTTGTTTACTGTAATTTTCACATCCTGCATAAAAGTAACTTGCTTTAAAATTGATTGGCATTGTTTATTTTCAAAAATGTTATAGTCCTTGTTATTGTACTTCAGGATAAGTATAAAAGGGCTCTCGCAGAAACTGAAAATGTACGGAACAGGATGCAGAAACAGATAAATGATGCGAAGATATACAGCATACAGGGCTTTTGTAAAGATCTGCTGGATGTAGCAGATGTATTGAATAAAGCCGGAGAAGTTGTTCCTAAAGATGAAATCCATAACGAGAATCCACACCTGAAAAACTTGTATGAAGGAGTTATTCTGACAGAAAAAGAAATGTTGACTGTGTTCCGCCGTCATGGATTGGAACAGATAGCTCCAAAGGAAGGAGACAAGTTTGATCCTTTTTTGCATGATGCACAGTTTCAGATTCCAGTGCCTAACATGGAGCCAGGAACAATAGGAGCTATTATGAAAATTGGTTACAAGTTACATGATCGCACTATAAGACCTGCTCTTGTAGGTGTGGTGAAGGAATAAAGATTTTCATGGAACAATAATGATTAAAGACAGCGGTTTAATGACATATATATCATTTCTTAATAGTAGTTTATGTACATGAACTTGATATTATGAGTTAAATGTTTTCCTTTCTTTCTTATTATTTAATTTGAAGTTGGCTGTATTTTTGGTTAAACAGAAATGATAAAGTCAAGCAAATGCTGGCTGATTTTTTATGCTGTACAAGTATCTTGAGCAGTATTTTCTTGTTATATTATAACAAAGGAAATGGGAACATTGGATAGAACAGCTTTGTTGGAAATTATAACATCACAATATCGCAGAATTATATGAATTAAAATTTTTAATGTGCTTAGGCAGCTTAGCTTCTCTCCTGGTCATCTCACGTCCTTAAATATATATAAGCTTCTTTCCATTGTTAAATTGTTGATGGGGTTGCTATTGCTGCATCTCTGTGCCCGGATCAAGCATGGAAATTACAATACGTGTATGACCAAGGATATGACCTACAACCTAAGAAAGTTCAATAGCAGGACAACCTATAAAAAGTAATGCAAGTGGTCCTCTTCTTCGTCGAGACGTGACGTACAGGTTTATGAAAAGTATTTTAAAGGAGCAACTTTGTATCATTGCAAAATAAAGAAAATTTGATCAGACCCACGACTGTTGTAACCTGGGTTATTTATTTATTTAAAATGTAATGTATTATACAGGCCGTTGTGACTAACAAGGTGAAAATCGAATCTGGCGACCGATATTCAAGAGGTCGAACTCAAAAGACGAAAGTACGTGGAGTTCATTTATATCCCTGACATTTCTGTTTCTTTTACACACATTACACTAAAAAAACATGAACCGATGTGCGAACTACATATCCCATTTTTTTTTTCGTCCCAAGTGTGCCCATGGCGCTGAGCTTACTTAAGCCCGATTCGGTCGATTTTAGTGTGACTACTTTGGTGATACCTATACAGGAACTTGGAGCGCTGCACTTTTCAGTCATTTCATGTCGATTGTTCATAATTGGACGACTTTATTTCGCACAGAGTTTTTTGTTCTGCAAACGAGAGTGCTTTGGGCTTCTGACATGTTCTGGCACAAAAAATAAAAACGGCTATTTTGTATAACACGGTGGTGAGATTTTAGTTAATCTATCGTCATGATAAGATGTGCGAACACCATCAACGTCGCCTCTCGCTAATTCACGTGAGCACTTGTTGCATAAAAGTTCATGCACGAAAATCAAAACAATATTTACAGACATCAAATTCAGGAGGAACTGTTAATTTATCACCTGGTACTAGGTGAATGATCCTAAAGACCATAGAAAACGACTTATTCAGAAGATCAAACTTATCTACTATAACGGAAATAAAAAACGATCAAAATGTTTATGGTCTATATGGGGAAGCATGGCGATTTTATAAAATGAGTTTAATACTAATTGTAATCGGGCTATCTGCGTAATGGTAGACT